AAACATGAAAAAGACCAAGGTGTATGAATATTTTTGCAAGACGCAGTGGGGACTTCGAACTAGATTCATGATTTTCCATCTTTTTGTAGAAATCTGCCACCAGCTGAGCAGGATCTGAATAAAGCTTTTATTCTCCGTCATTATGGTGATGAAAAAAAGGAAGATCTTTCTAAGAGAAGAAGAAGAAGAACCACGCCTGGACCTCTGGTTGATGCTAAACTCCAGATACCAGAAGAGCAGCTGCAGAATCCAGCCCCTCAGAAACTGCACTACCACATGAATGATGGCTCCTCATTCATATAGTATCCTTACTGTTTCGCTTTGGATGGCAGTCCGAGCAGAAAGCACCACATCTGGCATGTAGAATAAATGTGAAAGTTCTCCTTAACCGTGCTTTTCCTAGCTACCCGTCCGGCAGCATCGCTGTGTGCCAGAGTTGCTCATGTCCGCCTCACGGAGGCTTCTGCACCAACGTGTTCGCCGACACCCAGCACCCCGTCACACTGATGACCATTTCACCTTTTGGACATGGGGCTGTTACAAATCCTCTCTAGTGAGTTCAGACCTGCACATATTTATTTTGTTGCTTTTTTCATAGTTTCAAATTCTTTGTTTTTCACTTTTTGTCTTCTGGTGATTTATCTTACATAATAACTAATCTATTACTAGCAGTTGATTATGATATACAAAATTATCAGATACTGTCATTGTGGAAAAAAAACTGTCAAAATAAGCATTTTGTTCTATTTTATTAATAAACAGAACGGTATTTTAAAGCCGTGATGACAGTGACGGTAAACTTCAATCAGTTATTTGATATCTGTTGCTGCAGCTCCACCATCACAGCCGTGTGGGATCAGGGAGGCGGGTTGATGTTTGATGATTATGGCAACATAACCAAGGAGTGGAGCTGGCAGACATATCACACACTGAGGGGGGAAATTATCATACAGGTAAGAGTTACTGGTTCGATAAACAAAAGATACTATCACACACGGAACATCACAAAATGTGTGGAATGGGCTAAGCCCAATACAACTCCATAGGTTTATTAAATTGTTTAATCTAAGCAAAGCACAAAGTATAAAATAAACTACTCAATTATGCATTATGTAAGGTGAGGATTTGTGATGCTGTGGGCCTCCTGTTAGAGCGCATCACATCAAAAAGGACATTTAGGCTAAGTATCTTGTGGACAATGTTACAGAACCAGTTACTGTTCTGCTGTAAGCCAACCATTTATAACTTTATGTCAGGTGCTATTTCAGTCCTAATTCTGAAAGTTAGGATGTTTTTTTTTTTTTATCATCCTAGATTTAAATCCATTAAGCAGGTTTTAGGTTTTATTTATTTTTAAACATACTTGTTTTAAATGTGCCAAAAATTATTATTAATATTATTTCACTTCGCCCTCAGGAAAATATGCCATTTTGATTCAAATCCTCAGGAATTAATTTTTTATTTTTTGGAAATCTATAATTTTAGTTAATAAACTCATAGCTTTTATATATGTTAGTTGCATTTTCCAAACTATATCCCATATATTTGGTAATCTGTTGGGTAACATTTATTTCTAACACTTAAGGGATGAAAATCACTGATTTTATTGTTAATATGTTTTAAGTGATATTAATATTTTTTTGAGGAAAGGAGAATCAATTTTTCTTAGTTTTTAATTTAGTGAAATCTAATTCAGATTAAAATGACACATAACTTTAGATTTTATCCTATTGGATTATATTATTCATTCTTTTTCCTCTATAAGGTGCTATTTTGTTTACACTTTCATAAGTCAGAGCAACAATCACCTTTTCTCTGTCTTAGTCAGAACCTCAGACATTCATGGCACAGGGACAAAGCAACATACCAAAAAAATCATGAAGGGATGAAGCTAATCTCTCAGAGTGGCTGCTGTGGAAATAGAGAATTTGGTTTGTGACTAAAACCTGTGCACATTTTACTACTACTGTGTCAGACCATGTTTGGACCCTTTTCTCTCTCTGGATTTGTCTCATTTTTTATCTCCAGGTCCTTCCATAACATTATGGAACATGGTGACAGCAGAAAATGAACAAAACGAGACCCGTCCTGTTTTAAACAACCAGTCTTAGAGTGGGATAGTATCCACAGCATATGGCCAAATCACATAGAAATAAGGTTGGATGAAACTAAAATGCTGCACTTATTCTTTGTCTGATTCCTGTAGGTCTCAGAGGAGATCTCAGTGAGGCTCTTCAGTGGGACGTCTGGTGTGCTCAGCTTCAGATGTGAAAATGAAAGTGTTCAGCTTCCACTTTCTTGTGTCACTAATAAAAGCCAATTGAAGAAAATGGTGAGATCATGAATTACCAGTTACAGTTCTCTCTAAATTCATCATCTTTTATGAAACTGTTTGCAGACAGAGAACAAATTGTTCTCTGTTGCTGCTCAGGAGCTGCAGCAGCCAAAAAGGCAGAAACATCCTGCAGGAGTACCAGAGAGCAAACGCAGCCTGGGGAAAACACTTGTAAGACTCCTTTATTTAAGGAACAAGTGGTTAGAAGCATTTCAATAGACCAAGTTACATAGTTTAAATATTTTTTAAACGCAGACACCTTAAGTAAGTCATTACAACTTTATTCATCAGATGGTTAAAGAAGAGGAGCAGCAGGTGGAGCCATTAGCTCTGTGGCGAAGACGAGGAAATGCCGCGAGGGAGCTGCAGAGGATGCAGCAAAGAATGCGAAACACAGTGGAGACCTGGCTGGACTGCTACCGTACTGCCATCGGTATGCCTACAAATGTATTCACACAATAGAGTTTTTGCACATTCTTGCATGCATGAGGAATTTTATGCGGCAAAGCACATAGAAAATGAACGCAGAGCCAACCTAACCTGGTGGGCTTACAGGATACAGTTTGCTGAAGCTAAAAAGTTACAGTATCACCACATCCTGCAAACTCAACATTATTGAATAGTTCCAACAGGATCCTATTCACGGTCACTCGTGTCACTCAGTGACTGCTCATGTCAGTGACCTCTTCCTCTCCTTCAGGTATCAAGTGTCCTGACACGGAGCCACTGCCAGGGGCCCAAAAGTGGACCCGGCAGAGAAGAGCAGTGCAGCTTGCTGCTCTGCCCTCACTGAACTCACCTGAATGCAAGAAAGCTGCACAGTTGCATGCTGGGAGACGCAGGAGGGATGAGCTCAGAGAGAACCACAGAGGCCTCTCAGCAGAGAAACCTCGGGGCCGCTTTGTCCAGATACAAAGGTGCTGACTGATGCAGAGAGTTTTCCTGATATCCTACACAGATTAGCTCATTTATAAATCATAAGACGTGACCTTGGGTAAGATTTGGCTGCTAAAAATCTAAAGAAGTTTTTTATCCTTCTCATAATTCATCATATTACAACCACAGGCTTCCTTTTTTTATGCAGAGGTTAATTTGACATTGAAGCACGAAGTTGTGGATAAATATGCAGCAAAGAGAAAAAAAAAACTGTGCATGCATATCAGTTTCCTTTAATCTTATTTCCTTATTTAAAGGGCTTTGCAGAGATAAATAAGAAGCCAGTAAGAAATAAGAAGATTAAATATGGTGCTATGAAAGGTCTTCCTTTATTCCTTTTATTGCTTTAGAGAGTGAAAAGCAACTTGACTGTTTATCTGGTGATTCCTGCCGTTACTGCTGTCTGTCTTATCAGAGCCGTACAGATCTTTTTGTTTTTGGAGCCTGTGTGTGGACTGCTGCTAATTGAATTTAGAGGGATTCTCTTGAGGGATTGCAACCATTAAAATACATGTACGATCAGACCTTTTGTCTTTCTGATGGATATATCATTGGAAGTGTAAAATTTAGACAAGCCTGCCCATTAATACTGTCTAGAGTAAGTTATTGGAAAAAACAACAACAACAAGAAAAACATCTGGATAACTTTTTTTGGGCCCTTCATGATGAAATTAACTGAAACTGTTCAATCCTATTTGAGATATTCGGCGTTTCTCAATTCACGAGAACGCGAGTACGTACTCGCGTTCT